GGGACAGGAAAGGGCAGTTTGGGGCACAGTGCTTAGCTGTAGAAGACATGGGTTCGGGTAAGATGGGGCCAGTTAATGGAGACCTTACTCCCCACCAAAAGAGGTGCAGATTTGATCCAGTATGATCAGATTTGGAGACCCTTGAGACTAGGGTAAGAAGAAAAGCTTTTGAGAACATTGAATCCAGCCAGGGTCTGTGGCAATGTGTAGCATAATGCCAAGCAGGGATGTGGGACCCAGTGGGCTTGGACATGATCTTGGCTTTACATGGCCATATGTACCGTGAATCTTCTCTACAGGTGGGGAGCATGCTGTGTACACCTCCTGGGGTTATTGTGAGAAGTGTTTGTAAAATGGTTAGCAAAGGCTTGGCACAAAAATAAGAGTTCAAAAACAGTGAATTTGGTTAATTGGTTTAATATTTCACTTTCACACATATCTGTTTGACTCCTGGAGGCCTGGCATTCAAGGGCAGGGTAAAAGCCTTGTGGAGCTCTCATCGTGAGAAAGCAGAAAGTGAACAGTTCCATACACACTGCACTGTCAGGTCATGACAAGTGACTTGGAAAGCAGTAGGCTATAGGGGAGGGAACTGAACGGCGTGTCTCACCTTAGTGTTTACGATGGAAGCTGATAATTCTGTCATGGGCTGTCCCAGGCGCTGAATGATGTTTAGCAGCCTGCATGACCTGGCAAAGAACCACTAGATAGATGCCAGTAGAACCTTTAGTTAGGACAACAAATCATTCCTGACATTACCCAGTGTCCTCAGGGTTACCCCCTTTGAAACTGCTGGACTAGAGGGTGGGGAAGTGCTGTTTGGTGTGTTAGGAAAGGCCTCTGATAAGGTGGCGCTGAGCACAGCTTTTGAATACCAGGGTTGGGCAGGGACACTCCAGACAGAACTGTAGTCAGAGGCCTTAGACCAGAGTGCTTGCCAAGAAACAGCTCAGGGGCTGGCGAGGCTGGAGTAAGGCAGAGAGGGGGCAATGAGCATGGAGCCCCCGACCATGAACCTGGTCCTGAACCCAGATGTTCAGAGATTTATAGGGGCAGAGAGCCAGGAGGAGGGGGAACTGTTCTCAGGGCACCGTAGGCCTGTGAAAGAAGGTGCCAGTGGAAGAGCTGCCAGGAGAAGAGTGCCAGGGCAGGCTTTGAGAAGGGCTCATGCTTCCATGGAGCCAATAAAGTGAGTCCTGAGTACTGCGCACACACGCACAAGTCAGAAGTCACTAGTGACCTTGACAGGTAGTGGAGCAGTGGGGGCAAGTCTACAGGGAGAATGTTCAGAAGAGAGTGGGGGTGATGCCCGGTGGCAGCATGGTTGCTTCTCACGTGCCAGGCCCTAGGTTTGAACCCCATGATGGAGGGAGGGAGGGAAAGAAGGTAAACCAGGTGTGGACAGCTTTTTCAGGAAGTGTTACTGAGAAGGGCTATAAGGAAATAGAGTGGAGCTCGAGCTTGTTTCTGAGGTTCGTTTCTGAGGTTCATGTTAATAACATTCTGAAGGGCTGGTAGGAGTGATTCACTAGGAGGGGAAGCTGCTAGGGAGAATGGCAAGTGGTAATGCAGGCTTATTTAAAGGACAGCGTTGGGCACGTGGTGGTGGATAGTCTTGTGAACAGTTCATAGGCTACATTAGTAACAGGACGAAGCGGGGGAGAGGTGAATGCATCTGTTTGAGGGAAGCTCGAAGACTCCATTGGTTAGAGGCTCGGAGTCCCCATCCATGCACTGCCTGGCTTCCTCCTGTATCTCCTCCTGTGTGTTACCTCATTTCTAAAAGGGTTAAATAGCTCACTTAAGGTTCAGCAGAGGAAGTAGACAGTCAGATCTAGAGTCTATATCTCTACCCCAAAGGAAGTAAGGAAACAAAGAAAGGAATTAAGGAATCCAAGTGAAGGCCCCAACCCTCAAAGTGAGACTCCACCATCAGAACTGCAGAGCTGCCAAGTGAATGGCGTTCACCTGTAGTCCCAGCACTTGGGAGGCCGAGGCAGGAGGATACTGCAAATTCGAGGCCAGCCTGGGATGCATAGTGAGTTCCAGGCCTGTTCTCGAGAGATCCTGTCTCAAAAAACAAAACACAACAGTAAAATAAAATCACTAAAAACTACAAAGCCTTTTGGAGAAGTGGGTGTTCCCTGTGGTGGGTCTGGTGTCCGTCCCTGCGCGCGTTTTCTCTCTCTCTCTCTCTCTCTCCCCCTCTCCCCCCCCCTCCCCCCCCCCCCAGTGTTCTCCCTACTTTGTTACTGACACAGTGGTTGTGTCAGTCCGTTGTGCCTTTGGCTATAAGTAATGGACATCGCAGCCACAATGGCCGTGTGGCTTTTCTCACGTTGTAGACTATCTGGAGCTCTGCCATTCTCCTTGGTTCACCTGCTCAGCAGTTATCTAGGGTCTAGGCTTGCTGTCTGTCCACTGAACCTTTTAGTGTTTTGGCCTTTGACCTTGAGCTTGTCTCTGGTTGCAGGAAGACTATTGCTCCTGGTGGTGTTCTTTCAAAGAAGGAAGCTGAGAAAAAGCTACAGGAGAGATGCACAGGAGTGGGTTTGTCTATGTTTGGAAGGAATGCTGAGACACAGGTGAAACACGGTGAGGGGCTGGGGGGCAGTGCAGTTCAGCTTGTTTGCCCAGCACACCCAAGGCTTGATTCCCAGCACCACAAAACCCCCACAGAAACATCCCTTTCTTTCCTAGAAGCCCCCAGCATAAGTCTCAGAGAGTGGGACAGGGAGCCTTGAAGTAAGGTGAGCAAGCACATGGCAGGGTGACATTGCACATCCTCTGATATTTGGAGAATGGAGTACTGGTAACGGCTCTATAAACTGCGACCCTGCACAGCCCTGACAGCGGTGGTCCCAGGAGCTCAGGCACCCTGTCTGCAAGGCAGGATGCTCACACTGTGGTCACACTGCTGACAGTGACAGAATGTGCCAGGGCCTCCGTATCCTAACACTCAGCTCCAGAAGAGAGACAACAGGCAGGGCAGACACTGTAGGAAGCTACAGAGCACAGGCAGTGAAGCCCAGACAGTAAGGACTGAAGAGCCAACTGCGGGGTACCCAGAGTGCTACATAAAGCCAACAGCAAGGGAATGCTCCGCAGGCTTTGTAATATTTTTTGGTAAGGGGTCTTTTTGAGACAGGGTTTCCTTGTAGCCCCAGCTGGCCTGGAACTCACTTTGTAGACCAGGTTGGCCTCCATCTATCCACCTGCCTCTGCCTCCCAAGTGCTGGGATTAAAGGTGTGCACCACTTCACCCGGTTCCCATGTTTGTTTTTCTTTTCTTTCCTTTTTTTTTTTTTTTAATATTATTTTTATTTTATGTGTATGAGTGTTATGCCTGCATGTATGTAAGTGTACCCATGTTGTGCAATGCCTGCAGAGGACAGAAGAGGCTGTCAGATCCCCTGGAACTGGAGTTAACAGTTGTTAGCTGCCATGTGGGTGCTGGGATTCAAACCCAGGTCTTCTGCAAGAACAGTCAGTGTTCTTAACCGCTAAGCCATCTCTCCAGCTCCCCATGTTTGTTTCTTAAACAGATGAGGTCCTTGCTGTTTGTCACATTTTTCATGCCTTTTGTGTGTGTGAAATCTGTGTTGGATACATGTTTAAAAGAGGAGCCAGGTCTGGTAGCTTACATCTTTAGTCCAGCATGTGGGAGGCAGAAGCAGGCAGTTCTCTGTGGTTCGGGCCAGCCTGGTCTATGTAGCAGGTTCCAGGACAGCCAGGACAACATGGTGAGACCCTGTCTCAAAACAAGAACAAAACCCAACAGCATGCTTAAAAGTGACAAAAGCGAACCTAGGCCTGTCCAGAAGCAGGCCTGGGCCTGTGATTCTGACTCCGAGCCTATGGAGAGCCTGCGGGGTGCTGGCCCTGCTCTTCAGCATCTGTGTAGGGTACTCAGCCTAGAGATCTTTCCATACTCGACATACCCCCAGCAATGTGTGAACTGAGAATTGCCTGCTGGGCTTTTCTGCAAACCCCTCTGAGTTGAATTGGGTTCTGAAAGGAGAGTGCATTCTGGGAAAACAGTGCCCCAGAGGCCCCAGCTAGTAGTTGGTCACAAGATGCCTAGTGATTCCAAGGGCCTGTTGTCTCCTGGTCATTTTAAATCCCCAGGGCTGGAGATGGCTCAGTGGTTAAGAGCACTGGCTACTCTTACAGAGGACCCAGGTTCAGTTCACAGCACCCATTTGGAGGCTAAAAACTGTTTGTAACTCCAGTTCCAGGGGATCCGACATCGCTCCTGGCCTCCATGGGCTTTGCACAGGGTGCACTTACTTGCAGGCAAAACACTCATACACATAAAATATCAATTCCCCTCTCCCCCCTGCCAAGAAAATCTCTGGTGTCATCGCTTACTCATGATTGGCCTATCTCTTAGTATTTGTGGTGACATTTATGTGCTGGCTTTTAGATCCCCAGAGTGCAGGGGTCACACTCTGAAGGCTCATTGCTGCACATACTGGGCATATGTTTGGTGGCCATGATTTTTCCCTTTCCTATACCCTACTACTCCTCAGTGGACTCTGCCTGTGTAATACAGTTCCTTCTTACACATCACTTACACTGTCCCTGTTCCCTTCTAAGATCTGCAAAGAAGAATGCTAATTGGTTAACAGTGTGCGGTGGTCACTGGACTAAGGGCTTGGCCACTCTTGCTAAAATAATCAGAAAAATGTTGAAGGTATGAGACTTTTAGCATGTCAGATCATGAACAGAGAGAGGACTCTCTTCCTGTGAATAATGTTCTGCTTTCTTCATTTTGACAGTAAACATGTATTTATTTAATGAACAGTAGGATGTATTTGAAAAGAAAAGTCTGACCTGAAGGAAACCAGTGACTGGAATGCTGTAACCATACTGCCAGGAGCCGGGCATGTACTACCTTTTCCTGTACTCTGAAAAGCCCGTAGATCCCAGGCTGTCGTTCCCATTGCGAGGTAGACTGTGGGACTGGCTGCTTCATTCCTTGCCTTCTCGTTGGACAGGTCGAGGTGGCGCATCTATCTATGGCAAACAGTTTGAAGATGAACTTCATCCAGACCTCAAGTTCACTGGTAAGTGTATCATCTGGCCGGACCGGGTAGGAAGGAGGATGGGTTGTTGAAAGCTTGCTCTTTTGGCTGTGGTTCAAGGTGAGTACCTGACACCGTGGCGGCATGCCAGACAGATGCTCAGCCATGGCGCCACAAAGTGCCCTGGCAGATGAAAGAAAACAGCACCTCTCGAGAGTCCTCAGCAATTCTGAGGACGTTCTAGACTAGCCTCTTGTTGAATGTCCTGAACTAAAGGATGTCTGAAGCTCCCTTGAAGCAAAGCAAGACCGTGCCAGGCGGGAGTCAAGCTGGAGAGCAGATGGGGGGCTGCAAGGCCATTGGGGTGGTACAGTGGTGGTCTGGGGTGGTCTTTGTGCAGAGCACAGCCTCTGCCCTAGAGAGAGGTAGTCTGGGGCCTGGCTGTTGATGACAGAGGTGGGCAACTCTGTCCTCAGACAGTGTCGCTCTGCTGGAGCTGAGGGGCTGTTATTGACACGCTCTTTTCTTTTTGTCTCCCCTAGGGGCTGGAATTCTGGCAATGGCCAATGCGGGGCCAGACACCAACGGCAGCCAGTTCTTTGTGACCCTTGCCCCCACCCAGTGGCTGGATGGCAAGCACACCATTTTTGGCCGAGTGTGCCAGGGTATAGGAATGGTGAACCGAGTGGGCATGGTGGAGACAAACTCCCAGGACCGCCCCGTGGATGACGTGAAGATCCTTAAGGCATACCCTTCTGGATAGAAGTGCTGCCCTTGGGCACACCCAGGTCTTCTGGGATGGGCCCAGTGACCTACAGTGACTTGTGCCTTTGCCCCACTCATGGAGCTGAGGAAGTCTGGGGTCTTGGGCGAATTAGAGATGGAGGTGTCTGCTCCCAGTGCCTACATGGACAGGGCATTTGCAGAGACTCACAGGTTCCCAATCACCACGATGCCCATTTGTCTCCTTCCTGTGCATGCCTGCTCTGACACCTTTGGGACAAAATGAAGCAGGTGGGTCATTTTGTAGTGCTGCCACAAGCTTGCTTCTGGGGACATTTCTGTTCTGGCCAGCAGCCCCTGAATTCCAAAGCAAGCCATATGGGCTGGACTTGTTAATGCTGCACGGCCCCTTTCGGCCTCCCGCGTGCGTTCTTCCAGGGAATATATGCAGTGCTCTGTATTTTCCTTCTCAGAGCTAGAACATCAACATTGCTGCCTCTGACACTTAAACATCTCACACAAAGCCATACTGAATTTTTGCCAGATGGAAAAACGTTCCAACAATCAAGTTGCTAAGGTGTCAAGTGGGGAATGATAATGTGTAATAATCGAGGGGTGTATCTATGAAAAGGAAGCAGAGCGTTGACTGTTCCCTAGCAGGAGCGACTGGCTAGCGGCTAGTGAGCACAGGGAGTGACACTCTTGTGTTTGGGTTTGCAGGGGAAGTAAGGGTGCGAGGAAGGACGTTAATGCCTTTGTAATACATGGAAACTTCCAGAATAAAGTACCTTTGGTGGTTGAGATTGCTGTTGTGGGCTAGGTGGTGTTCTATGTTAATCTCAGTGGAGGAGAGTTGTGCTCCAGGCTCACATCACCTTCGCCAGGTCTGTGGGCCTCCATCTGACTAACCCACCCAAGCAGTTCTGGGACCAGCAAGAGGGCAAGGGGTAAAGGTGCTTGCCACTAAGCCTGCTGAGGGAAGGAGAGAACTGACTCACACAAGTTGTCTTCTGACCTACACACACACACCCCAAAATAAATCTGTAATAAGATCAAAAAATAATTCTGGGTTGGAGGGATGGCTCAGTGGTTAAGAGCACTGGCTGTTCTAGCAGAGGACCCGGGTTCAATTCCCAGCACCCACAGGGCAGCAAACAACTGTCCATAACTCCAGTTCCAGGGGAATCCAACACCCTTTTCTGACCTCTGAGGCATTGCACGACACAGGTGCACTCACATACATGCACGCAATATACTTGTACACATAAAATAAAAATAAGTATAAAAAATATGTAAGATCTATTTGGGTTTGATTACAGAACTAATAAAGTAGTCTCTTAAATGATTTAAAAAAAAAAGAAAAGAAAAGAAAAGAAAAGAAAACCTATCAACAAACGCCAGAAATGGCTTGCAGTCTTCCAGGGGTGGTTTTGGTGGATGAGGTTCTACACTCTGGGGAAACACTTAAATCTCTTTTGGCTGGGCTGGAGCTTATAATTAGGGCTGCCTCTAAAGGTAGGGAATAAGATACCCATCCACCATCTCTAAATTATAATCTATCTCCACGTCCACACAGGCTCCAGGCATGGTGGGAGTCTTTGCTGCTGTGAAATAAAGAAGGTTCTGTGTACACTGTGGAAGAAAGTGGCAGGTGTGGTGTCTTGTCTGTGAGAAAGTCTCCAGACATGCTAAGACAGCCACTTATTGGCACCTCAGAAGAGTGAGGCCAACTCGAGTGTTTCATAACTTCTAGAGCCTGGGATGTAGAGTCCTAAAGTTCATTTAAAAGGGGTCCTGCTGAGTTAGCCCTTCAGCTGGAAGTGACACACTGTCAGGGTAAGAGCCATTAGACTGTTGGTGTGATGGCATTCATGGAGGCAGAGGCAAGAGAGCCTTGCTGAACTCCTTTCCTAGGGAAGCTGTAAACAATGTCCATTTCCTCCCAGGGTTCCAAGAGTTCACCCTAGTAAACCAATAATTTTATTGGGCTTACAGAACAATGGCTAAGGGACTACTACTTAACCAGAGCCTGGGCATTTCCCCCAAAGGCTGCATCCAGAAGTCTTCACCCAGCATGGATGGTGGCTTCCCCATAGCTGCATAAATAGAGAGCCTTACCCCTTAGTCTTCCCCAGTCTCTATACCCTAGCCCTTCCTTGACGCAGCAGGCTATCACAATTGTCCACCTCAGGTCGAGAGTTGTGGCCACATACTCAGGTGAGCTTCCCATGGGAGGACACCAACAGTTAACAAGCCTGCCTGAAGATCTTTGGCAGCTGGGCGTAGCTGAGCTCAAGAAGGTGGAGCTAGTTAGGCTCTGTCTGACCCAGGAGTTAAGCTGGAGAGGAGATGGGGAGGCATGAGGCCATCAGGGTGATATGGTCTTTGTATAGGACACTGCATCTACCCTCGGGGAGGTGGTCTGGACCTGGTCACTGGGGACAGAGGCAGGAAACTTTTTGTTTCCTCAGACAGCCTAGCTGCATAGGCCCCTGTGTTTTAGGTAATTGCCAGGACATGGCATTCCAGCAATTCCAGACAGATGAGAGAGAGGCAAAGTGCAGGTTGGTTTGGTCTCATGGGGAAACTGGGTCCTCATTTGTTCTAAACTGGTAGCTCAGGATCTCTACCTGTGGTGGCAAGTTCAAGACCAGCCTAGGCTACATAGTGAGACCCCTTTCTCCAGGGAGAAAAAGTTGTTTAAAGAATCTTGTTACATCTGGAACTTGGCTTCCTCCTTCATTAACAGGGAATTATGGGAACGATCAGCTTTACGATTTAGATGGAGAATAATGAAAGTGGGTGTGGGATAGGAAAGAGGTAGCTTTGCTGGGAAGATTCTAGACTTGGAGAGAAGGCTTGCACCAAGTTAGGAGTTAATAAACCAGTGAAAGCCATCAAACACATATCCAGGCTAAGAGAAGTCTGTGCCCATAGTGTAAGGTGTATAAACAGCTTGTGGCAAGGCAGCCTCTTGCTCCACGTTCAGATGGTACATTTTAACTCAGTTCCCTGGGGATGGTGATGAGCCTTGGGAACAGTGTCCTCCCTACTGAGCCTTCTTCAGTCCACTGAGCATCATAGTGCATGAGATGGTACAGACAATTCAGGGCAAGTGGCAGTGAAGGGCCTCCGGAACCAATCTGCGGGGAGCAGACCCCAGGGCCACCACTTAGCAGGAAGGTTAGTTTACTTTCTATGACATCGGAATAATGATGTTAGCCTCCTAGGTCTATTATGGGGAGTGACCTAGAAATGATTTATTTATGGGTTGTTTGAGAAAGAGTCTCATCTCCCAGGCTAGCCCCTAACTTGAGAATGACCTGGAACTTTGGATCCTCCTACCTCCATTTCTCAAGTGTTGAGATTATAGACTGGCCTTGAACTCTTTACAGTCCTCCTGCCTCATTCTGGGATTACACAGTGTGCACATCAGTGCATGACAGAACAGGTATTCAGAACAGAGTCCAACATCGAAAGCACTTAAAAAACCCAGCTATTGTTATCAATGGACCTTGGCACTGCCACACACCTCTTCTACCTGTTTTGTGTATGTGCTGGGGTTGGAACCCAGGCCTATCCACCCAGGTGCATGCTGGGGAAGTGCTCTACCACTGAGCCCATTCCTTCACCCCTACTTCTTTATCCCAGCCAGCGGCACACCGCCACACAGCCTCTCCTCTCCCTGCACTGACCTCTGAGAGCAAGGCCCTATCTTACTCCACACTATCTTCTCAGAGCCTGTGCGATGCTTTGAAGTTATTGGCTGAATGAATCAAATAAAATGTTCTCCATCAGGAAAAGATGGAGGCTGGTTGGCAGAAATTTGGGCCAGGAGTCATGGACCCAGGCTGTCGTGGCAGTAAAGCCTTTTCCACTCAGCCTTCTGGAAGTCCTCCGCTATGTTTTATTTTTGGATTGTATCTCCAGAATATGTGAAAATAGCTTTTCCCGCAAACAGCAAATGGTTCCTACCCCAGATCCTCCAGCCAATCTGAGCCATCCCTGAGGCCCCTCTGGCACCAGAGCTGCAGGGCGTGGAAAAGGAAGCTTTGGTAAGCACAGCTGTTCGATCTTGCTGCCAGGAACTTTGTGCCCTCAGAGCCCAGCCACAATAGATTGGGTCCCTGCATTCTAGGTAAATGTCAGGACACAGGCATTCCAACAACTCCAGACAGACAAGAGGCAAACTGCAGGTTGGTTTGGTCTCATGGGTCATGGGGAAATTGGGTCCCTGTTTGTTCTTCCAAACTGGTAATTCAGGATCTCTACTTGTGGTGGGAGGTTCAAGACCAGCCTAGGCTACATAGTGAGACCCCTTTCTCCAAGAAAAAAAAAAAAAAAAAAAAAAAAAAAAAAAAAAAAACAAAAAAAGAAAAAGAAAAGAAACCACAGGTGGCCTGCCTGGTCAAAGTTTGTGGACTGAGGAGTGTGGGGTCTTTGTGTGATCCTGGGGAATCATGTTACAGCTGGAATTTGGTTTTCCCCTTCATCAAGCTGAGATTTGAATTAGGCCCTTTGAGCTCCAGGTCTGAAACTAGGTCAATCTGAGATTCCTTCAGTTGCATTTTGAGATTTGAGATTCCTTCAGTTCCATTTGACATGCTATTTTGGAAATCTGCCACTAGAGGCCACTACGAATACAGTTTGGCCTGGCAGCTGATTGAACAGGCAGAAGCTGGCCAACGCCTTGCTTGGTTTTCCTAAGCCATTTCCTAAGCTGCTCTTCAGATGTGGAGAACCGGAGACTGCTCAGATAGCGACAGACTAGAATTGAGATGTGAGCCAGGTGCAGAATAAACCAACGGAACTGCATGGGCTGAATGACTGTCTTCAGGCCAACCTCCTGTGTGGTAAGGCATGGTTCTACACATGCCTAGTCCCTAGCTGCTTGTCCTCACTCTGCAGTTCAATACGTGGTAATTCTGAGTCCCTCTGGGTGGAATACTACCTGCTACCTGCTACCAAAGAACAGACTCGGGGGGCTCTGACCCTAAGTTTAGTTCTTTTCTAGTTGTCCCTGACTTGATGCACAGAGGAGGAAGATGAGGTACAGGAAGAGCCATCCGGTGGCAGAGCCAAGGTTAGACCCAGAGTAGGCCCCACTGTCTGGGACATCACCCTGCCTGCTCTCCTCCAGCACCCTCAGGCTGTGTTGACTACCATGTCCTGGCCTCTGCTGTCTCAAGCTCCTTCCCAGAAGCAGGCCCGCTGAGGCCAGGGGCACACGTGACCCTAATCAGTATGTTTATTGGGTCATAAATGTAATAGCCACATCATTCCACTTAGCTCATAGAAATCACTCTCCTTTCTGTGAGGATCTGGCCAGGCTCCATTTAGGAGCAGGGCCCTGTGTACCTCTTATGGTAGTGGTGGAGGAGGAGGAGGAGGAATATCTCCACTTCCTCATCACTCTGACAGGGAAAGTGGTCATTCTGGGGTCAGTATATCAGAAAATTACCCCAAAGGAAAGAGAACGTAGAGCTCACAGTTGTCTTCAGCAACATTCGGCTCTAAAGATGTTCCCTTGTGTCTCCCTTCTGGAAAGCACTGTGATCTCACAGAGACTTGGTTGGGAAACTTGGATGGTGTGATGTTATATACACATGGTTCCATCTGTCCCCAGGGCAGAGTGGTGAGACTCCAGCTTCCCAACTGATCTGCTCTGTCCCTCTGAAACTGACATGTCTTTCTTTGCTTCCTCCTCCCTATAGCCCAGGAAATAACAGACAGAGGTTTTCCAGCCAGGATTGACCAGTGTATGGCTGTGGGAACGTCCTTGGTTTCTCCATCTGCAGAAT